AAATTTTAGGAATTAGGGACCAAAAAAGGGGGAAAAAAAGCATTTTTGTAGTTTCATGACAATAACTTGTATGTATGTGTATGGATCTTTCTGAAATTGTACTACAAGTTTCCATATCACAAAGGGAAAGCTGGAATTGAGTTTGGGGGTAATTGCCAAAAACGTTTAGGAATAAGGGGCCAAACGGACCAAAAATAAGCATTTTTCTAGTTTCCAGACAATAACTTGTGTTTAAGTGTATGGATCTCTCTGAAATTGTACTGCAAGGTACCATACCACAAAGGGAAGGCTGGAATTGATTTTGGTGGTAATTGCCTCAAAATTTTAGGAATAAAGGGCCAAAAAGGGGCAAAAAACAAGCATTTTTCTAGTTTCAGGACAATAACTTGTGTGTAAGTGTATGGATCTTTATGAAATTGTACTACAAGGTTCCATATCACAAAGGGAAAGCTGGGTTTGAGTTTGGGGGTAATTGCCCTTTACGTTTAATATTTGGGGCCAAAAAGGGGCAAAAAAACAAGCATTTTTCTAGTTTCCAGACAATTACTTGTGTTCAAGTGTATGGATCTCTCTGAAATTGTACTGCAAGGTACCATACCACAAAGGGAAGGCTGGGATTGAGTTTGGGGGTGATGAATCATAAGGGGGTTCAAAAAATTTGGGGGAGGGACTTTTTTTCCTTTTTTTTTTCTTTAAAATTTTCCTTTTTAAATTGGTTATTTCTGATTAATATATTAAAGCAAATAATAATGATATGGTTTGAATAGGTAAATTAAAATTTTTAAGTTCTTAGACCACATTCATTCTGTGTCAGAAACCTATGCTGTGTCAAATATTTAATCACAATCCAAATTCAGTGCTGTATCAAGCTTGAGTGTTGTGTCCATACTTGCCCCAACTGTTCAGGGTTCGACCTCTGCGTTCGTATCAAGCTGCGCCCAGCGGAGCATTTTATTCCTAAATCGTTAAGGTCATAACCCCAAATCAATCCCAACCTTCCTTTCATGGTACTATGATGGAACATTGTGGTACAATTTCATAGCGATACATAGACTTATACTCAAGTTATTGTCCAGAAACCAGAAAATCCTAGTTTTTGACCCCTTTTCGGCCCCTAATTCCTAAACGGTTTGGGCCATGACCCCAAAAAATCAATCTCAACCTTCCATTTCAGGTATGGAACCTTGTGGTAAAAAATTCATAGAGATCCATACACTTGTACATAAGTTATTTTCATGAAACAAGAAAAGTGCTTGTTTTTTGTCCCTTTTTGGCCTCTTATTCCTTAACAGCTAGGACAATAACCCCCATAATCAATCCCAACCTTCCTATTGTGTTATGGAACCTTGTGCTACAATTTTATAGAGATCCATACACGTATACTCAAGTTATTGTCTGGAAATCAAAATGTCTTCGGGCGAAGACGCAGACATCGCCATAACAGAATACAAACGCACAAATTTTGCGGTCGTATAAAACGAAAAAAAAATTGACATTTAATGATTCCTTTAAAAAGCCATCTGACAGTTTTGACGTAAATGGACAGCAGGTAGATATAAGATTTTCTCTATTCAAAGCGGTTTTCAAGATAATAGTCAAAACTTGCATTTTACCCCTATGTTCTATTTTTAGCCTCGTTGGTTGGCAGGCGGGGTCATCGGACTCATTTTTAAATCTAGATACCTCAATAATGATTGTGGCCTAGTTTTGTTAAATTTGCCCTAGTAGTTTCAGAGGAGAAGATTTTTGTAAAAGTTAACGACGACGGACGACGGGTGCCAATTGATGAGAAAAGCTCACTTGGCCTTTCAGCCAGGTGAGCTAATAAAATACACATTTAATTTCTTTTCTCTGTTAGAATAATCCAATTCAATATCATATTGAAACATGCTGATAAATTGTCAGACAGTCTAATTAAAATACAGAACTCTGATTTCGTTATACTCATATGGAGTATAACGAAATCAGAGTTCTATATTTTAATTAGACTGATTGTCAGAGTGCATATAGCCTGTTATAAATATAACTGTCATCGCAGTTCAAAATTGGTACAAATAATAAAAGAAACTTTTATTTTTTTCTCTGTAAGAATTATCAAACAATACCATATTGGAACATGCTGATAAATTGTCAGAGTGCATATAAATTGTTTACTTTACTAAGTAAATAAGGGGGAATTATGTACAATCAATGGGAATAGGTAGTAAATCTGAAGAAAAAAAACCTTAGTTTTGAGTCGAAGTGAAATACTATGCAGTGCAGTATCATACCCCTTGCAAACAATGTTGAAGGGTATATAGGAATCAGCTTGTCTGTCCAAGCTAAGTTTTGAGTCCTTTGTCCAATTCAAACCAAACTTTGTACACTTACAGATTATGATGTGTTAACTTTGCAGAATGATGGATTTTTATGCCCAAGCTCGATATAGTCTGGTGTATATAGGAATCCTGTCCGCAGTGGCGTAGCTAGGCCATTTTTACGTGTGCGCCCGAACCTTGGTGAGGGGTCTGGGGCCTCAGCGGGTCCAGGGCAGAGGACATCCTAGTAAGGTACGAAACCCCCCTGAAGCTCACGCGTTATCAAGAAAGAGATACCACTTCTATCATTAAAAACTCATCAATAGCAACAACTTTACGACAAAAGAGATGACTTCAGCTTCCCAATTGTGAAATTTCCATTTCTATGTAGCAACACACCAGCAGCAACTGCATATGGAGTATATATCTCCCAACTGATACGATATTCCAAAGCCTGCATTTCCTATCGTGATTTCCTTGATAGAGGGTTTGTGCTTTCAAGGAAGCTATTGAACCAAGAGTTCCTAATGGTGATGTTGAAATCTTTCATTCAAAATATTTACGACCGTCATCACGAGTTGGTTGACCGTTATGGAATAAAATTTTGACTGTAAACGGGGGAATGCGTCAAAGAGACAACAACCCGACCAAAGAGCAGAAAACAGCCCAAGGCCACCAATGGGTCTTCAACACAGCGAGAAAATCCTGCACCCGGAGGTGGGCTTCTGTTTCACAGGTGACGACGGATATGTTTCAATTTGCTGTAACCACAATCACGTCCTCTTTTCCTCGAATGTGACCTACTGAATTAGAACTATTAGCGGGTTCGAACTTACATGAGCGACACGACTAGTGAATCATGTGGAGCAGGATTTGTTTACCCTTCCGAATCACCTGAGATAACCTCCGGTTTTTGATGGGGTTCGTGTTACTCAGTCTTTAGTTTTCGATGTTTTGTTTTGTACTGTTTTTAGTCTTTTCATCGTTTTTGTCGAGCCTTCGACTTTAGTCGAAAAAGCGAGACATAGCGATCCTACATTCCGTCGGCGTCGTCGTCGGCGGCGTCCACAAATATTCACTCTGTGGTTAAAGTTTTTGAAATTTTAATAACTTTCTTAAACTATCCTGGATTTCTACCAAACTTGGACAGAAGCTTGTTTATGATCATAAGATAGTATCCAGAAGTAAATTTTGTAAAAATAAAATTTCATTTTTTCTGAATTTTACTTATAAATGGACTTAGTTTTTCTGCCGGGAAATATTACATTCACTCTGTGGTTAAAGTTTTTAAAATTTTAATAACTTTCTTAAACTATCCTGGGTTTGTACCAAACTTGGACAGAAGCTTGTTTATGATCATAAGATAGTATCCAGAAGTAAATTTTGTAAAAAAATAAATCCATTTTTCCTTATTTTACTTTTAAATGGACTTAGATTTTCTGCCAGGAAACAACACATTCACTCTGTGGTTAAAAGTTTTTAAAATTTTAATAACTTTCTTATACTATTTTGGATTTGTACCAAACTTGGACAGAAGCTTGTTTATGATCAAATGCTAGTATCTAGAAGGAAATTTTGTTTTCTTCCAGTTAACATTACATTCAGTCTGCAGTTAAAGTTTTTAAACATTTATTAGATTCATAAACTATCCTGGATTTTTACCAAACTTGGACAGAAGCTTCTTACAATCAAAAGATAGTATCAAGAGGAATATTTTTATTGATTTACTTCCTCATTTTTGTTGAGCCTGCGATTAACAGAAAAAGTAGGCGAGACACTGGGTTCCGCGGAACCCTTACGAATTTTTCATTTTTGTCATGGCATTGTCAGTTTGTTTTCGACTAATGAGTTTAAATATCCCTTTGGTATCTTTCGCCTCGCTTTTATAGTCTAGTTTGTTTGGGTTTTTTTTTAATTTTTTTTTTCATTTTAGGATTTAGAATTTAATGGTCATTTGTTTTAGAGAGAAAAAAAATCCAAACCAGATACTTTAAAATATGTTTAAAATGAGATGTGGGGTAAAACAATCAATCGAAAAATATTCAAAACTTTAGAGATAATAAAAAAAAAGCAAGTTTCCATCTCAATGTTGTCGTTCTATTAATTATTTTGACTTCATCCAATTTTCTCACCCTTTTACGCGCAAATTTTGTTAATGGACACATGAAATAATTAATTTTCATTGATGGTCAGGTGTAACATAAAAATGCAAGCCACTTATCGTATTTCAGCAGATAATGAATTGCTTTAAACAATAGTAAACTGAGTAGAATTCACAGAAGATACAGACTTTGACATAAAATGAACAAATATCTAATATGATACCATTTGAGTAAAAAGTAAATTTCGTCACTTTTGTCTTCAATTACAAGTCATTGAAGAAAGCATTATAAAGATCATTTGCTTTTAACCAGTTCTAATTTATTTGAATTAAAATTTATTTTCTCCAAAATTCATGTGCACGCCCGGGCGTTTTGACGTAAACGTAGCTACGCGCCTGGTTAATTCTGGGTTCTTTTTTCGTAGTTGTTCATAGCAAAAGATTCTTTAAAATGAATAAGATTTCTGGTGGTTGACGATGGCAATCAAAGGATAATAATCATGATGGCATGTCGGCTCATCCAAATAGGAATAAATCTACTCCGTATGTCTTCGGCAAAATAGGTAACTGTTTGTCGCCAGACAATAAAGAAAGTATTAAACTAAATTGACCATCTTTATATATATAATATATAGTATGATTTGCATAATAAACATATCATTTTTAACAAATAAGTTCATGACACTGTCAGATGACTAAACGACAGTTTTTGGACCAGGGGATCACCTCCAGAAAATTATTAGTTATATCATATTTAAAGGTAAAATAGTTTTAACAAAACAGCAGGTTAAACTTGTGTTTAGTCTAAATACGAAATACACAAATACCCTTCAAAATACTTAAATGCAATTTCTCTTTTGTGGATTATATGGTGAATAGAGCAATTTTTCAGTATCATCTTGATTGAACAAAACAAAAAAAAAACCTTTTTATTGAAAAAAAAAATTTGTTACTGAATATATATGATGTAATAGAACAATATACTCATCGTGTCGAAGTCCGATATAAAATATAAGGACCGTTTAATTGTTGTTAAGTAGATAACAGCAACATGAATAATGCGATAATCGTAAATATAGATGTGTTTTTTAAAGGCATTGCAAAATATTTCAGGATTTATCCACAGAAAATGTTATTTTAGAAACATCACCAATTCCAGCTTCAATAACGTCACCACCCTTAAGACCACCTACACCAGAGGGCGTACCAGTTAGTATGACATCACCCTCTTCCAGCGTCATATATTTACTAATAAAGCTGATCAAATAACTAATGCTAAATATCATATCCGCAGTATTTCCGTTTTGTCTCATTTCACCATTCACCTTCAACCATATCTGAAGATTTTGAGGATTAGTAATTTTATCCTTTTCAATAAATTCGCCTGCTGGAGTGGATGTATCCCAACCTTTAGACAATGTCCACGGATGTCCATTCTTTTTTGCTTCAAGTTGAAGATCTCTAGCGGTCATATCTAGGGCAACAAAATAACCACCAATATATTCCTTCGCTTTCTCCTCGGGAATTTGGAATCCTTTCTTTCCAACAACAATACCTAGTTCTACTTCATGATGAAGATCATTGCAACCAGGCGGAAACTGTAAGAGATATAGAATAAAACCTTCGATGATAATTTAAAAAAGACTGCAAACGGGATAGATTTTAATGACAGGTGGCAAAAAAATATATATATATATGTAGGACTCAAATCTATGGCGGGTTCCAAATCTATGGCAGATTTCTAATCTATGGCAAATGTGACGTTACAAACGTCAAACAAATCAAATCTATGGCAGATTTTTGTTTTCTCCAAATCTATGGCAGATCTTAAAATTGCGTAATTTTCCGGGGGAAAAAAGTAACATAAAATATCACAATTAAATAACGCCATATTAAATCGTCGCCGCCGCTAACGATGGCGGAACCTATAGATTTGAACACCATTCCAGATGAAGGTATTTCCCTCGACGACAATTTGCGGATTGTTTAAAGGAAGATTTGAGCTATTATCCGGAAGAGGGACAAAATGTGCTGTACCTGCCGAAGCCCGCTATTTTCAGTACCGGATATTTTAGAAAAGGAGTTGTAGTAAATGTTTATTGTCCACGGCTGGCAAAGTTTATAAAGTGAAAGATGAAATTACTGGATTCCAATTTGATTTAAATCGTCATTAAATAAAAAAAAAATGTATTAACGATGAAAAAAAATTTAAGTGAAAATTCAAACTGTTCATTTTATATTTATTTTTTTAATATAAAAAAAACTGCCTTCTTGTTTGTTAAGAGACTTACTAGTTGGTTTAATGAATTGGTTAAACAGGTATCATGCACCGATTAGAAAATGTTTATTTTAATCTTGAAGTCTGTATTAAGGTATATGAATTCATCATTTATGAAATTTGTTGGTTGCCATCACGATTTGGTTTTGACTATTATAGAATGTTTATAGACATGTTCCCGTACATTTCCACTTGTTTAAGACAAGTCATTGTTCATATGTACTGCATTGTTTTACATTTGCACAAATTTTGCCATAGATTTGGAAGCAACAAAAATCCGCCATAGATTAGGAAATTACAAAACTTGCCATAGATTAGGATTATAAAAAATCTGCCATAGATTTGGGATGACATGACGTCACATTTGCCATAGATTAGGAATCTGCCATAGATTTGGAACCCACCATAGATTTGAGTCCTACATATATATATATATATATATATATATATATATATGGCAGTCAGCAGGGTTTAAGAACATCCGTTGTTCGACCTGCTAGTCAAATGAGTTTTGTTAAAATATACTTTTTCACTTTTTTGGTCTTTTGCGAAAATGTTGTTTGTGCTGTATTTAGACCCCTCTACCAAGAAATTTGTTTTGCATAGACACGTATAAAAATTGAGGTTTTTATCCAACGCAATCATAAGTTTGAACGTTGTTTTCAATTTAGACTTGTATATATATATATATATAATTTATTTGTTCAGTGTATGTTCACTGGTGTTAATATGTCCTTTGAGTTAAGCCATTTCAGTTGATATTTTATAGTGTGACTTTCTATGTTGTGATGTTACACTATTGTTTCAGAAAAGGGGTGAAGGTTTGGTACCATTAAAACGTTTAAACCCGCTGCAATTGTTTGCACCTGTCCTAAGTCAGGAATCTGATGTTCAGTAGTTGTCGTTTGTTGATGTGGTTCATAAGTGTTTCTCGTTTCTCGTTTTTTATATATAGATTAGACCGTTGGTTTTCCCGTTTGAATGGTTTTACACTAGTAATTTTTGGGGCCCTTTATAGCTTGCTGTTCGGTGTGAGCCAAGGCTCCGTGTTGAAGACCGTACTTTGACCTATAATGGTTTACTTTTATAAATTTTGACTTGGATGGAGAGTTGTCTCATTGGCACGCATACCACATCTTCTTATATCTATATATATTGTAATTGTTCAGTTATCAAACTCTCATTGTATAGATCTATGTATAAGTCAATGTATGAGGGTGTGGATGGGGGTTTACAGAATAAAGAATAATGGGCAAAAAATATAAAGAATAGAGAAAAATGGACCAAAAAAATACAGAATACAGAATAATGAGGTGCTAAAATATAAAGAAAAGAGAATAATGGACAAAACGTATAAAGAATAGAGAAAAATGGCCTAAAAAATTAAAGAATACAGAAATGAAGGATCCCCATCCAGACCCTCATGTATGGAGCAGACCTTACATTTCCAATGTAAAGTAATATGTCCTTTATTTCACGTTTTTGGATAGGTGCAGTGAGCAAAGTCACCAAACGTATTTACTGAAACTCAAAGGGCATTACATACTTGTATATACATTGAAGGAAAAGTCAAGTTTAAGAATAATGCTAGTTTCTTTTCATTCTTTTCAATTCTTCTTAAGAAAACCTGTGTGAAATCTGTCTCATACCATTAAGGCACAAGTCGATGAGAAGAATACTGATTTTGGTTACAATAGAAAATTACAACCGTGAAACAAAACACAAATATTGTCTATGAAATATCAAGCACTTTAAGAACAATATTTTTAATTTTAGAAAGCTTCAATTTTTTTTACTAAGTATGAGTTGTCGTTTCCCAAAATAAGATGCTTATATAATTATGTTGACCATTCTTTCTTTCTTTATGAAAAAGAAATCGATTAAGTTATGAATAGAAATATACAGATGCCCGATTGTTCTGTGTTTAATATCCAGCAGCAAATATAACACCCAAGTTAAAAGGTTTATGTAATTTATGAATATGGATCCGTTTTGTACTAGACCGACACGCTTAGCGGTTTCATCCTAGTTCCATTGTGACAGTACGCAAGAAGCCATGCCACCCTACCCGGACATATAGTTCGCACTTTGAACGAGCACGAGACCATCGACGGCAAAAAAAAGTAGCAGTCAAATGTGTCGAGATAGTCCTATAATATAATACTTCGTAGGTCCATATCGGTACAGCAATGATAGTTAACAAATGTCCGGAAAAAAAACGTAGAATGCAAACGATATGGACATACGATTTCTTATATTATAAGACTAGTGTAGAGATCGGACTTTAATTCAATGTAAACCCTATTGTCATAATTATTTTATCAAGACTTGCATACAAAACTACATATAGGGGTCTTTTCTTTGCGAGAAAACAACATATTCATGGAGAATTCTGGAAAGACAGGTTTCTAGAAACATTTGGGTCGTTATAAAGATGCATGTTCATTACACGTGGTTCATTATTGCTCCAATGTTCATATACCCGCGAATTAATATTTACCTCTCATTTGTACCAACCACCTCACAGTTAAACCTATTCAGAAAGATTATGCACGTCTTCTCGTGTTTGGTCAATATGTTTGGCATAATCAACAACATAATCCATTAGGGTTTTAATCAATCTGATTAAAATAGATCCTGGTTCTAAGCGTTGCTTTCTTTTTTAGCATTTAGCCTGGACACGTAGGATCTGTATTTTAATCAGATTAGGTTTTAATGTTATGAATTTAAGCTAAGGGGACGACCATTTGATATTCTGGGGGGGGGGGGGGGGGGGGGGCAGGAGGATTTGTTTTGGATCGGTTATTTATTTTTGTAAACTAAGAGGACAGATTATCTATTTTCTGCACTATTGAAGCAAGATTTTTCATTTTCATCAAAGCAAGGGACTGATTATTTATTTTCACAACTATATTTATATTATTCGAAAACATACAATTTTTAAATTATTTGTTTATTATAAATGATTCATGTATAGTCAAGTCATTATGTACCATTTAATCAGAATTAATTATTATCCTCTGCAGAAATGAATCTTCTATAATCCCCAATGCATATACATGTATTGCATACATACACAGTATTAAAGTTTGGTTGTAACTAAGGCTCTTTTAAAAGTATTGGCAAACATGTTTCGCCGAGCGGAGTTAATAATAAAATTACTAAATTACAAAATGAATGCAACACTAACAGAATACAGAACATGCAGAAGGGCAATCAATGGACAAAAGACAAATAAATAAGAAACATTGATCCCGAAAAATCAGGGGCTATGTCTGAGGGAGAACAGAACTTGCTTCTTGCAAGGCACTCACGGTGAACACAATTTGATATGGAGACAAGCGTTTGGTTTTGAAATTTCCTACATGAGGCATTTGTCTCAATGTAGTTACGGCCCTGATTTAATAAAAGCGAGGTAAGTGTTCCTGAGACAATTAACCTCAAGTTAAATGAAACCAATTTTCTGACATTTCAAGTATATTTAAATAATATTTATACTTTTATTATTAAAAGATATGGGAAGTGTTTCCCGATTTTTTTTTTTTGGAAAAAAGATGAATTTATGAAGAATCTGGTGCCATCTCATACTTTCGATTAGACCTGCTGAGTTATTTATTTTCAATACATTGCAAGTCAGGTAATTTATTTTCAAACTACCACAGAACAAACCATTTATTTTTGTGATTATCAAGGCTGAGTTATTTATTTTCAAAATCCTCCTGCCCCCCCTGCTGCCCCCCCCCCCCCCAGAATATCAAATGGTCGTCCCCTAACGTTACTGCATCTCGGTGTTTTGGTGATATTTTCACTCAGCCACTGAACTGTTACAAGTATGTCTACGGTTAAGCCACTGAACTGTTACAAGTATGTCTACGGTTAAGCCACTGAACTGTTACAAGTATGTCTACGGTTATATGCAGGTCTGGGTGAGGATTACAGAAGAGAAATAGGCACTGCAAATAAAGAAATATTTAAGAGTAAGCTAGTTAAGAAGCTAAGCAGACGTAGTCAAGAAACCTTTAAACATAGGACAATTTGGGGACGAATTTCAACATACCCTAATAGTTTCTCCTTCAGATATATAGGTGGTTGTTGGCTTAAGAAAGACCAGTGGATATGGAGGAACCGGGTCTCCACGTTGGTCAGCCAAACTCCTTAAAAATAAATAAAAAATAGAATTTGCAACACTATTTTTTCATACCTTTATTGGATGGCCCTGCGATAAATATGATGTCGTTGGTTTTGTAAATATAATTGGCTTTTCTGGGACTTTATTTCCAAGTTCTTCTGCATGTGCCCTTCAATATCAAGCAAATACAAGTGAGTAAGAAAATACGATTCATCAATTTATCTTACACTGCGCTAAGCCGCGGAATAAATGTAACCCCCAAAAATATACAATATTTGAGCATAGATGTATAAATATTCATACATCTATGATTCAAGTTACAATAAAATCATACATACTGCCGAAAATGGCGACACATATATATGATACATTTGTTATCATTTAAACATGTGTCTCCCAAAAAACAAACGGCTCTTTTGTGTTTAGGCGATGTTTCTTTTCTAATTAACCCGCAACGTACGGATGTATAATCACCGTCATTACTCTCGAAGATTAGTGAACGCCAGTCACACCTGCACAAAACTTTTCTGCTATATTCAACAATTGACACAAATTAAACATAGAGAATTTGACTTATTTACTTGTAACTGTAAACTTACTTGTAATTTCTTCCTACTGCAACAATCTTTTTCCCAAACACTCTAAACTGGGCTAGTCGATTGGATGCCATTTGATCAATTTAAAATGTAACTGGAGTTAACTCCCTTTCAACACACTATGATAAGAAGTTTTTTTTCAAAGGTTATATATTGGGACAAAGATAATATACACACGTTTGTCCTGTAAATAGAATAGTCGCGTATTTACATACTAGTAGTAAAAAACATATATAATTATATCAATATGCGGGAGAGATACGTGTTTACTGATTTACCACTGTCCGTCCGTCTGTCCGTAACACTGTCAATTTTCTGTCGCATTTTCTCAGCAACTACAACTTGACTTTCATACCACTTACATGTAATTGTTCTGGCTATGCAAAAATAATTGAGGTATTGAATAGACACCAATTACACAGTTATTCCCATGCATTTGTATATTTTTTGGCTATCCCTACTTTCTGTTAATTTTCTTACAAAAGTAAACGTTTAGAAATGCACGAGTTGTTCGTTGATTCGTTGTCTTTGTACGTTTGTCCGTTCGGTTGAATCCTGTGTTATGATGTTATTGTGGTTTGATGTATTAACTGCCCAATATTTTATGCCATGATGTTTATGGATTGGTGTTTAACCGATCCAGTGACAAATAGTACATGCATATCAGGACGACAACATGTTAATGGGGGGGGGGGGGGGGGGGGGGGGGGGGGGGGGGGGGGGGGGGGGGGGGGGGGTAGGATGAAATTTAAAAAAAAAGGCAGGACAGGAGTTTTGAGTAAAAAAAAGGCAGGATGAGCAACTTTGCCCAAAAAAATGGCAGGATGACAATTTATGTAAAAAAAGTCAGGATAAACTAATAAAAAAAAAGGCAGGACCGAATAGAGTGAAAAATAAAAAGGCAGGACAGAGATTACAACTAAAAAAAATGCAGGACAAAATTTTTCATCCTAACCCCATAAAAATCAAATGGTAGCTCCCTTAATTCATCAGTCAGATGTAATTGTAGAATTATGTTTATTTTTTCGACATTTTTTTCATGTTTATTATCATGATAAAATTACCAGTAAATTTTATGTTTTTTTGTACAAAATATTTTGCAACTACAATGCTGAAAACCGTTTTCCGTCGGGGGGCTTCGCCACCCTGAACCCCCTACCAGGGCTCTGCCTTGGACCTGCTGGGTGCCTTAAGCGGCCCCAGATCCACTGCCGCAATTTGTGCCTACAGTTTAATGGATACCTAGCTACGCCCCTGGGTAGCAATCACAAATCATGATGAACATTTTGATAAATTGCCAACTTAAAGTTGGTCAGAAACTTTCAATTACTAAGATTGCCTTAAGCAACAAAATTTACCTAAGATTGATAAGGATGGAACGATTTTTAGTAGAAGACAACAAGAACAGGAAATGACCAAGATTGACCAAGATTGATATCGATGTTGATCAATCTTTAGTTCATTTAATTGTAGTATTTTGTAGACGTGTCTTTTCATCCTTTTTCCTTTTGGTAATGGTGCATTTTTGTCTATGCAATCGCACTCAAATTAGGGTTTAATATAGTTTTAGGATGTAGTTCACATTGAAAAATACTCCTCATGTATTGCTCATCAATCTCTAGTCTACAGTAGTGAAAATCTAGACTAGTCAGCTACTGACTTCAGCTTTAAGATTTATATTTCCCACATCAACTTTTTAAGTGGACTTTCCATTTACCTTATGGCTTATTGTACCAGACTTCGTGGGCTCAAATACCGGGACACAGAGTTAATTTGAAAGAAAATAACGCTATATTGTAACACGAGTCAAATACACACTCAAGCAAAGGAATAGGAAAGCTATAATTTTAAATTTTTCATTCAGTATTCTGAAGTCGACACAAAGGTGTCAATGTTGATTTTGTTTCGTTTCGATTTGAATATTATATGAGGCCGAGTTGGACTATTCAATTGTGGTAAACATCAACATGTCTATCTATCTATACATATGAAGTTGATTACAAAAAAAGCCGATCTTATAGGGGTGTATCTCTCGGTATGTTTTAGTTCAGTTAACATCTGCCAATTCTTGTTATTAATTCAAAGGAATACGAACACCTTCCCCATTTTGATAACGGATTTATTATTTAACATTTATTTTTGAAGTCTTAATTCAAGGCAGTATAATATTTGCAATTTTTTTGCAAATAATTTGCGCAACTGTATATTTTTTTAGAAATATAACAAGAGGTTGAAACTTGAAATTAATGAAAATCATTCCAGAAGTCAAAGAGACAACAACTCGACCAAAGAGCAGAAAACAGCTCAAGGCCACCAATGGGTCTTCAACACAGCGAGAAAATCCTGCACCCGGAGGCGGGCTTTAGCTGGCCCCTAAACAAAAATGTTTACTAATTCAGGGAAAATGGACGTCAAACTAAACTCCGAAACTATAAATGAACCAAAATTAGAATAAAACATACAAGACTAACAAAGGCCAGAGGTTCCTGACTTGGGACAGGCGCAAAAATGCGGCAGGGTTAAACATGTTTTGTGAGGTCTTAACCGTCCCCTTATACCTCTAGCCAATGTAGAACAAACAAACACACAGCAATACGCACAGTAAAACTCAGTTTAAAAGAAGCCCGATTCCGACGTTAGAATAGGGAACAGAAGAAACTAGGCAAAATGATAATGATCAACATAAATAAACAAAGGACTACTGGCAGTTACTGACATACATGCTCCAGACCTCAATTAAACTGATTGAAAGATTATGTCTTCATCATATGAAACTATATATCCCTTCTGAATAAGTCTGTTCAAAGGTTTGGTCAGCTTTTGAGGTGAATGTCGACATAGATACGAAATTCGAGTGATACCACGATTATCAAAGAAGCAATATCTCTTGTCTTGAAAGAAACTCGCTGACTAAGGTGTTAGGTCTTTTTCAACTGTAAGAATATTTGCATTTTTAGTCCTTAGTTACTGAAATTGATCACGCTCAATATTAGCTCATGGCTTGTAAATAAGTTACACATCCGAAATGATACTGCGCATTTATAACTTGTTGACTAGATACACACTTCTGTATATCACTTAAGTTTGGGATAAATTTATAAAGGCTTCTTGAAAAATCATGAAATCACTCAAATTACAATTCTATGTTACCGTGTAATGCACAACAGTCTAAACATAGCTATGTAACAATAAAAATCAAGCCATTAATGGGAGTTGATGATCATGTATTAAACTAAATGTCATTTAACATGTAAAAAAATTAGGATACACTATTGTTATTCAATTACCAAACTTACTGATTGAGAAAAAGTGAATGCAACTTTTATGGATACCAATATCCATCACATTTAAGAATATTGGTTACAGACAGTGTCAATGGTACTAAAATAGATTAATCAGTCATTTTATGGGAAATATAGGAAACAGTAATTTACCGAAGTTTAAATCTCATAAATCGATAAAGAAGACAGTACTCTCAGATCTGTACTTAGTGTCTTTTTTGTTGTGGGGATGTATAAATATATCCTGCCACGTCCAGTATGTGTTTTTGTTACTGGTTTTTCTGCTTTGTATCGATTTGATGAGTTAAGTCCTTTTCAACTGAGTTTTACAGTTTGTTCATATGTTGTGCTGTTACATCATTGTCCCAGGTTAGGGGAGAGTTTGGCGCCATCAAACTAGTTCGACCCCGCCACTTTCTGTATGTGCCTACCCCAAGTCAGGAACCTGTAATTCAGTGGTTGTCGTTTGTTGCTGGATATCATATTTGTTTTTCATTCATTGCGTTGTACATAAATCGGGCCGTTAGTTTTCTCGTTTGACTTGTTTTACATTTGTTATTTCGGGGCTTTTTATAGCTGAATATGTGGTATGAGTTTTACTCATTGTTGAAGACCGTATGGTAACCTATAGTTGTTAACTTCTATGTCATTTGTTCTCTGGTGGAGTGTTGTGTCATTGGCAATTATACCACATCTTCTTATTTTTATAAATCAAGGTAACAAACAAAAAGTGCGGGAACCTCATGAACTCCAAAAGGAGCCAATGTGGGTGCATCAACTGGATAATCATCTCCTGCTATCCATGCAGAACCCACCATGCGAATCCACATACAGTCAAATTGACACAATCGGGAATATGACACGATAGGTTAAATTACAGATTACACGACTATTCTATCTTAAAATCTAAGACTGCAAAAAATGTAGCTAGTGAGTTGAGACACAGATATATCGTATCGGTAAACCAATTCGTGATGGTGACCGGAAAACTTATGAAGTGTCGATTTCAGCCGTTCTTCCTCATAACTCTGTTGGAGACTTGTAAGGATTGTATCCCTTCTTATGAAGTCTGTATTGTGTGAACATGCACAAGTGTAACGTATCAATTGAGACATGCATACGCCATACGGTGGAGCAGAGGGTATGTTACTGCTGAGAAATGGAAAGTTGAAATCATTACGTTTGTCAGAGATTCTAGTTCGAAGTCGTCCATCTGTGTCACAATCGAGGGAATAGTTTATTGATATACAATGACCCAGAATAAACTGATTATTTCTGAACGTTTATCATTTGATATTTAGTATTTCAATCATAGCATGAGAAAATGTCGAAAAGAACAAAGAAAATTAAGAAAACGATATTTCTGTTAAAAATATTTATCTAAGGTCGGAAACACAGTGGTCGGAAAGCAGAAAGATAATCAAACAAAAGGATTTTTCTGTAAAAAAAATATCTTATTTCATTAATAGATACTACCAGACTAAGAGAATATTCATTGTTAAGGTAAAACTGAGACTGAATTTATTCCTAATAATTATAGATTGTAATGTATACGTGCATTATGTCTCACAGGTTTGATCAGTCATTACATTTATGAAAATTATATGTAACGTATGAGCACCAATGAGCAGGGATGCGTACCCAAAGTTAGCGAAATATCTAAATTTTAAACGGTCGTAAATGAAAACATACTTGCGTGGTTTCAATTCACAAGGATTTTAAATCCTTGCATCTCACAAAAAACGTTATTAATATTTTACAATAATCATAACAAAATTTAATTACTATCATAATGTTAATTATTTTTTTTCTTTTATTAGTTCAACCTTAT